GCTATGCTAACAAGTGGAGAATACCGTCTACAGTTTAGCTATACTGTACCGGACGCGATTGGCAACGCGATGCGAATTTTCAATTTTCAATGATATTTAACTTTAATATTTTTCTATGTTTTTCAAATATTCGGAACCACTTAAGCAATTTTAGCTATTTGGTCTGCATATCTTGAAAATTTTTATACGTTGACGGTTTTATTTGTTTTTAAAAACTGAAAATGCGCGTCGCGTTGTCGTTCGGTCTGTATGGGCCTAGTTTATTTATCACCTTTCTGACTATTCAAATTACAAATTAGAAGAACATATAACATCATTGTAAATTGTAAATGTGGGTAGCAGGATATTTTGCTGTAGCGAAGTAGCGAATAGTTCACTACATTTTTTAAACAGTAGCTAAATACATTTCTTGTCACACAGCAGTACAGTAGTTGTAGCCGCGACTACATTTTTTCGAAGAAGCTGTATAGGGAACTACAAAACATTTGTAGTCAACCCATGCACCCTTGGTTTTTCTTCAAGTCATTTTCCTAGCCGTTAATCAAAGTTATTCATTAATTAAAATGTCATGAAAGTCAATGTACCTGGAAGAAATTAATTAGGTTGAGTAATTGCATACATGTCATTGACGTAACTATAATAGGCTTTTGTCTTTTGCTACTGACAAGAATTATATTTCGTACCGTATACAAGCAGTCCGATTTAAAATAGATGGAATGATGCATTCATGCAGAGTAACATTTGAATACCTTCACGTTGAAAATCTGTATATTAGAAAGAGTCGGCTAGTCTAAGTAAACGTACAAACGTTGAAATAGTATAAAGACTAAAGTACAATTATACATACCAGAAAACTCTGATTTTGATGCATGCATGCAAGTATACATTGTCTCACCTTCTGGTATTATGGCCTTTCTATATACTCCTTTTTTTCGTAAATTTCATCTAGTTTTGCACCGCAAAAGCCTATACAATATCAAATCATTAGATATTAGACAGACAATGATCCTCCATAACGAATGAGTGAATTTAATATTTTTTTATGTGCTATATTATTACACCTGCTCGCTATATCAACAATGCCTGTTAGATGACTGGCTATATGGTATGCACACTGACACTGTTTTCAAAATTGACATAGAACAAGACTTGTTCTAAAATGCAAATATTCTTTTTTGACAGAATTAAATATTTTATCATATATAATATTACATACCTGTAACACATTCCGCAAAATTTAAAATTTCACTCTCATTGACTTTCCATTTCAATTAATTGGGCAATAAAAATGCATTGACAACCATTGTCAATACGTAATGAAACAAAACATTACAAGACAGCTCAAGACAACTGTACAACATTGAAGAAAATGGAGAAATGTAATGGCTATATTGCGCATCATGTAAATCCTTACTTTGGTCAATTAGCCCATGCGTTCATTGTGTAAAAGAAAGAAAATTTAGTAGGCGGTAGACATATATACAGCCAATTCAAAAAAGCTTGTCCTTTGCAAACCTAAGCGCGTAAAGCTTAATGGGAGCATAATTAAGTTTGAAGCTTAGTAGTTGAATATTGCAGCTATTTGTAAATGAATTGTTCTCGTAAGGAGATATTTACCATGGGCCGGTTGTATCAAGCCCGTTTAGCTTAAACGGTGGTTAAGCTCAAAATAGAAAGCAAGTCTATAGATTCATTAAACAACCAAACTAAAAGTTTTGAACCTTAATAGAACGATAATGTTTACAACTATATATTCAGTGCAGAATATTTAAGTTGACTGATTCACGAAAGACATAAGAGTGTTATTTAATTTTGACTTATCCACCGTTTAAGCTAAACGGGCTTGATACAACCGGCCCCATGTCTCTAAGAAATGCGCCCCATATATGATTTCTAAACTGATTAAATGATGCTACCATTATGCTTTGCACGCTTGAAGTTCAAGTTTAGAGTTTAAAGTTTGCAAAGGACAACCTTTTTTGAATTAGCTGTTTTATATAGTGTACTGGAAATCATGCATCGTGTTCGCGGAGAGACGACTACTGAAAATCTAACATCTATAGCTATGTATGATATGGTATTTTATTATATAGTACAGAGTGAGATACTGAAAAATACACAGTGAGATATTTTCCATATCTTCACTAGTGAAGACATCGATCACGTGACTTTTCCAATTTGCTTTTGAGCGTGAAATTTCGTAAGTTTTTGCTTGGGACTATATAATAAACAGAACATTAGACGGTAGCTTGAAGATGACTTTTATCTTCTCGTGTTTAAAACAATTTTCACCACTCGAAGATAAAAGTCATATCTTCGCGCCGCCGTGTAATATCCTCTATATACGGCAGGAAAAGAAATAACAATACGAAATCACGCTGGTCATATTCAGCAAATTTTCTCCCAGTACCGCAGGCTCGCATTTTCAGCAGACTTGTTGTGAAAAATTGAAACTTTTGCATTTTGCACAGAACTGCCCACTTCTGACCACCGCTGACAATACGAGCCTCTGACCAACGTGAATAAAGAGACACTGCGTACAACGTGACAACGTCACAACGTGAATAAAGAGACACTTACTGTACCAACTATTTCAAAGAGATGAGCCGGATTTTCGAAAAGGTGCTAAAGGTGCTGATGAGGCGTTGCGAGAGATGATTTGAAAGACTGGGCGAGAGAAAGAACGACGACTCTAGCGCCTATTCGAAACTTAAGAACGCCGTTGGCATTACGGAGGAGAGAAAGGATAAGAGTTGACGATAAAAAACCAGCTCTCATCCTCGTTTGACTGAGCTCAAGCAAGCGACGTTTTTGTCAACAAGGACGCCACTCGAAAACAGGAAAAAAATATTTTCGTGGCATTTTGCATCATATCGCTCGTATAAGGAAGCAAATCTTATGTTTTGTCTTATGCGTTAAAGGTCCATACAGACCGGACGCGATTTGGCAACGCGACGCGAATTTTCAGTTTTCAATGACATTTAACTTTACTATTTTTTCTATGTTTTTCAAATATTCGGAACCACTTAAGCAATTTTAGCTATTTGGTCTGCATATCTTGTAAAATTTTGATCCGTTCATGGTTATATTTGTTTTTGAAAACTGAAAATTCGCGTCGCCGAATCGCGTCCGGTCTGTGTGGGCCTTAAAGATTGCCACAAACTGATACAAACACAGTTTTTAATGGCTATGTTCAGGGACGTTAATTATAGTAAACAAGTGGTTGTGACTCACCATGACATATCTTTGTTCTTCGCTCTGTAGATAATGAATGCAATTCAAGAGAACTAGCAACGCCTTCAGAAACATATAAATAAAGTAGAGAAATAGGATGTGAATACTTGTCTGAAGACAAAGGGCAAGTAGTAGTAGTAGTAAAAACTTTATTTACCCACGCTAACCCTGTCAACCGAAGCTGATTTCCACAGGGGGCGTGCAATAAGAAAGTACAAGAATATTTACAAAAGCTAATTACAAAAGATAATATCAACTAAATCTAAGTAAATCTAAGTAAATCTATATATATTTACAGGTTTATATTTAAGGTTGTTTTAGGTTCTTGTTTTAATTAAAAATGTGAGTAGCAATTTTGTTTTGAAAACATGATAAGGATTTGCACTCCCTAATTTCGCTTGGAATAGAATTCCATATGTGAGCACCGTCGTACATGAAACTATTTTTCATATTATTAGTTCGAGGTTGTGGCAAACAAAGACCACTGGAAATACCCCGAAGTTTGTGACTTGTCACCTCACTTTTATAGGCAAGGATTAATAATACGAAAAAATGCATGAATGCTTGCATGTATAGCGAGTGATACTAATTGTAGCTTACTGTGCTACGCCTACGGTATACCTGCTAAATTGTAGATCCTTTGCGGACTTTCGAGTTGCTTTGGGACTTTTTCTTGGAATATTGACATACTGTTCCTATATTGCTATAAGGACGCGATTTCACGACGTACAGTACTTTTCACCACAATCCATATCCAGGCCTTAAAATATCTTTCACAGGGCCGTCTGACAAAATGTCCGATGACATTGAGTTTGGGTCGGACATATGTCCGATGACCTTCAGTTCAGGTTTGACTCGGAAATAAGTCTGAATGACACAAATGAATATCAGCACAATGTATTAATTCTGTACTGTAAATGTTGTGAAGAAATTTAATTTTTTTCTTTCATACTTATTCCCAAGCTATTTAAGGCCTGTCCATACCTAAAATAACTTGTCATGATAATGGCTAACCGTTTTCAATTTTAAAACTTTTTTGTTTTGGATAATTTAAGTATCAATGGAAACCGAATCATTAAATTGTGAGATTTTAACGTATATGTGTATTAAATATGGAAGTCGTCTTTCCATCAAATACTTACAATATAAACCTCCATTATATCCAAGTTGGGAGCATAACATAATTAGTCTCTTTTAGAACAAGACGTAACGTCAAGAACCCAAAAAGCAAAACATCTGAAAACAAGGTACGTGCGCTAACTGTGCGTTGCCGTTGCTGCTGTTTTTATTGTTGTCGAAGTTGTAGTATGTACAGTACACTCGGAAAGATCTTCAGGAAAACTAGTGGCATAGCCAGGATTTCTAGTGAAGGGGGCAGAAAAATCCCGGTAGGAGCCCAAGCAATTTTATCCTGCGCTAGTTCGAATAGAGTTTTTTTTTTAATGTGAAAATGTATTTGTTGGACTCCAATGATATAGTACAATGAACCGTTAAGGGGTTCCGGGGAAAATTTTTAAATTTTAGAGTTAGTAAAGTGCCATTTTCAGCAATTTGAGGTCTATTTTAATGTGTTTTGGTGATTTTAAATAACCATTTAACACATAACAACTCTACTTGATCACAAACGAATCCAGAACATTTAAAACATAGGAAGATATAAAATTTCCATCACAAGAAATGAAAATATAATGCACATGCTTGTATTGGTCAGAATTTTTCCAAGGAACCCAATATTTTGGGAGCAAAACAAACGTCACCGAGGAAAACCCAGAACCAAAAACAATATTAATAATTTGGTTTTTCATATTCACACATTTTCATATTAAAATGAACATGATGGTACGTTTTCCCAAGTATTATTTTTCATTTGTTCAACCACAGGTAGTCCAAACGTGTATCAGTATATAGTGAATATATGATTATAGAATATACTACACAGTAAAATTTGTTATGAATTTTATATTTTAAAATTATATTTACTTGCCTACTTTGATTGCAATCCTCGAAATTCAACTATTTTTGCCTCGGCAAATAATTGCCGAAGTAAGTCTTTCGATAATTTTCAAGTTTGCCTCGGCAATTTATTGTGCCGTGGCACGCAATGAAATCACCTTAAATTCCTTCGGCAATTACTTCGGCACCCTTCAGAATTCACGTCGGCATTTTGTAATTAAAGTAAAGTGCATGTACATATGGAAATTATTGTATAAAACAAATATTATAAGTATAACGAGCGTAGATGCCGACGTTTGACAATTTGTTGTTATTTTACAAATTCCTGATTCAAAATGTTTTTAAAAAGTTAGTGGTAAACTTGGTAATCATGCGACAGTCTAAAAGATAAAACAAAGTTTCTCGACGTGCCGTCTTTAAACCATCAAGATTGTTCTTTATTTCAGCCGAAGGCGACGCTGTTAAGCTCAAATTTAAATATTTTGTAAAGTAGCTATGAATGAAATCTCAGTTGTTTACCCAACGTCGATGACAACAATTCGAACAAAGAAGTGATACAAAAAACGAACACTGTAGTTTGTAAATTTAAGGTACAACGGGTGGAATTGCCTCGGCATTTTTTTGCCGAGGCAAACTATGAAAAATCGTAACTTCCCTCGGCATTTGCGTCGGCAATTGCCGAGGCGAATTTCGAGGGTTGGATTGTATGTGATCGTCTTTTATTTCTGGGCGACTTTACACTCTATGCCTGCGACTGTCATCATAGGTAATAGGAATGAAAGCAATTCATTCCTATTATTGCTTTCATTCCTATCACCTATGATGACAGTCGCAGGCACAGAGTGTATTAAAGACGCCCAGAAATAAAAGACAATCACATACAATCAAAGTAGCTAGGCAAGTAATTAAATATAATTTTAAAACATAAAATTCATTACAAATTTTACTGTATATAGTATATTCTAGAATTATACATTTACTACCAATACTGATACACGTCTGGGCCGCCACCAACAGTTCAGTCTCCTGTAGTAAGGTATGTTTTCACTTCTGCGATTCATCTGGCTGATTTTGCTGCATGTTACTGACACAAATCCTTCCAGTTGACGATGTTGCGATTGTCATCATATTACAGTACAGTATATACGTTTATTGTTTTGGATGGATGCAAAATCAGCAAAAAAATCGCAGTACTTAAATGTAGCTTTAAAAAATAATAATTTGCAACTGTCAGCAGTTAGAATGATTCTTCCAAGTTCATTTAAAATGTATATTTAAAGCAAGTAAAGCAAGATCACAACTTGCCTATGTTGTCATATTACAACTCAAGTTGTAAGCATGTAGACTAAAGTGTAAATTGGCCTTTAGGTAAAAGGATGCTTAATGCCTCTCTTATAGTCAAGTTCAGGTCATAAAGTGCCAAAGGCACTGAAAATGTGCTTTAAAGGATTAAACAAAAGAGAATTTTGAGTAGCATCATGCAAGTGTAGGTTCAAACATACATGATTAAATTAAAGATGCTGTGAAGTCCGTTCTGCGCATCTTTTTCTGCTCATAACAACTAAACAAAGGGGGACCAGCAGATATAAATATTGCCAAAATTTCGCATCTCAAATTTTTAAATTGAAACGTAGAGGTTAATAAGTGTTAGATATTCAGTTAGTATATCATATTTTACAAATTGTAAACAAAGTTCAAAATGTAAACAAAATGTAAACAAAGCATTTGATTAATTGTTTACATTACAAACTTTACAGCATCTTTAAAAAACCAATTCACTTGTTTTTCAGCAAGTCCTAGATGGGGTATTGCTTATTTATTCTTTTTAAATACCAAATACACAGACGTACACATGGTAAGAGGATGAGAATTTCTTCTATTGACTGATTCATAAACCTTACCAATTTTTTGTCATTTTCGGTGAAGTGGTACAAATATTGCCCTCACACCATTACCAACAACCTTTGTTTCACCTTGCAAACTTCCTACATCACTAATCTGTTCTGCTATTTTCTCAATCAAAGCTTTTTTATCATCCACACTTGTGTTCTGTAATCTACGGTGTACAACAAACACTTTTACACTGTCACGGTCCTCTAGAAATTCAATAATCTTTTTCAATTTGATGTCCAAATCATGTTCACTTATTTTGCCAGTTACTTTTATCTCCCTCATCTTGCTAGTTTTCACATGTTTCTTTTTCTCTTCTTTCATTTTCTCATAAAGCTGTTGTTGACTGATCAATTTGCACACAGTTTCTGAAGAAGTACGCCCAACTTCCACTACAACACAATTTTCTTTCCTCCCTTTTTCTAACGCCTCTTTCAAAGTTATAATTCCAAGATTTTTCCCCTCTTGATCAATTAAACGAACATGTTTTGCTTTAATAGCATTGTTTGCTCGGTACTCTTTATTTTGCGTACTGTGTGCGTTTTTCACTAAACTGCGTCTGAAAACCTTTATACTTTGCGTCAATGCATTTGGCATGTTTATCCCCGCGATTAATCGAGTATACCCTTCATAACGTTGCTTGAAATTTGGATGTTGATTCACTATGTTGTTATGTGAAAAATAGAACCTGGACAGCATGTAACGTTGTCCTAAAAACGCACGAAAACGGCACATAAAAACGCACGAAAACGGCACCATTTTAGAACATCAAACAGCCGCCATGTTGGAAACATGAAACAAAATACTTCATATAATTTTGTTATAGTGTATCTATCAAGAAATACATCAGGGGCGCCAGAAGTAGGCTCAGATTCCAGCCGTTGTGTTCGAGAACACAACGGCTGGAATCTGAGCCTACGCCAGAAGCGGGGTACTTTTTACAAGAACTGCACTTTGAAAGAGTCGTGTTTTATTCACATGAATTGAAATTTTGAACTGTTTTCAAGCAATTTCGGGTCAAAAATTGGGCCACTTCACGTTGCTTCCAGCGCCCCTAGCTGCAAACCATTTGGAAGTGATTCTATGCATTACAGTAAATCAAATTTCGACCCACAAGAAATATGAGAAAAAAATCAAATTTCTTAATGTATAATGGGCAATTCCAGCTATAGACTAAATTTTTATCTAGGCAAGAAGACTGAAATCCATCACCACAGCTAAGAAAGAGCATGTTAAAATTAGTAAAATTGCAAAGTTTGGCCGGTAACTATTAGTATTACGCACGGGAAAATACACCACATTTGGGTCGAAAGTGGTGCAAATTCCCGTGCGTAATACAAATTAGGCCAAATAAAAAAAAAATACTTGGTTAGCGTCACACTCTCACAAATTTTCAGAGGCGGGAGGTTTTTTTTTAATTTTTACTCGTTTTTTAATTTTTTAATAGTATTTTTTGGGGGGATGGGGCGGTTTTCCACCATATCGGTGATATTTTTTGTACTGATGTTGCGAAGACCGCCATTTTGCTATAAGAATTAACCTTGTATA